ACTTCAACACGAACGCGCTGGCGGCGGGCCTGGCCGGCGCATGCGCAGGACGAGGAACGCTCTGGTCTTCGAGGCCCCTAGCGCGCACAGGCAAAGGCGTCACCTTGCGCATGTGCGAAGTTGTGCTTGGGTCAAAACTATCGTGGGCCCACCCCGCTTATGCGTAGGGCGGGGCCGGAGGAGCTGGTGTTAGAGGCTGTAGCAGCGCCCTGCCGGTGGTGGCCCCGAGACAGGCCGCTGGAGCGCAGCAGGCACAGCCTGTGGTAGTAGGGGCCCGGCGAGCTGTTGTCTGTCACTGCCCCGGTAGCTTCCTTTGTCCCCAAAGGGTCCGTGCGCCAGGCACAGCGTTGGGTACTGATGAAATGGACATGTCAGGCACTGGGGTCTTTCCAGCGTGCATCGTTCACCAGGACCTGACAGCTCCACAAGCTGAGATTGCGGTTTTGTTGTGTTGCTAACTCATGATTATGTTGTGACACTTTTCTAGTATTTGGTGGTTTCTTTCTTAAATCATGGGAATTAATGGCAGTTGCGTGCGCTTGTGCCAGGCACAAACCAGTAAAGACATGCATAGTACAGTAAAACTCCAATTGTCCGGCATCCAGTGGTCCGGCATGCTCAATAGTCCGGCACCAACTGGAACCCGGCAGTGCTCCGGCCAGCCGGACAATTGGAGCTGCTCCACGCCGCTTCCCCAAGTCCACTGCTACCGCTGCTGAAAGTGACCAGCAGCAGACTTGGGGAAGCCTTGGGGCAGAGCAGCTGGGGTGCTGCCTGGTTGGTCCTGCAGCGCCGCTTAGGTGAGGGGCGGTACTGTGGGACCAACCCGCAGCACCCCAGCTGCTGTGCCCCGCCGCTTCCCAGAGGTGCCACTGCCACATGCAACTTCAGCTGGCCTGTCGCTGGCAGCTGCGCGGGGCTTCCCCCACCTCCCTGCAAAACGGCAGAGGGTTTGCCCCATGCTGCGCTGTTCCCCACTGACCCCTCCACCCCCAGGCCCGTCACAGCCCCTCTGCCGGAGTACCTCCTGATACTCCGGCATATCCGATAATCCGGCACCCCCTGGGTCCCAAAGGTGCCGGATTATCGGAAGTTTACTGTATTATCAAAATTAAGAAGGTGCCTGTGTACTTTTGAACTGGGGTTTACAAACCTGATCCAGTGTCCTCTGAAGTCAATGGAAAGGTAGCTATTAACTGTCAGCAGCATTGAGTCAGGACCCATATGTGTTCGAAAGCTCTTGATTAAAAAAGTGCCATAATTTCAAACAGGCAACCATTTAGCAAAGTGATGGGGTCTGATTTTCTGCAAGCCAAAAAGAACCAAAGATACCAAATATTCTATTTAGTATTTCAAAACAATTCCTAGTTTCTCTGAAGATTGTTGTCAAAAATTTAACTCTCAATATAATATTGAGTGAATTCTTTAATTAAACAAACTGTTAAAAGAACACTATAAATGTTGCAAAGTCAGCTACTCAGAATTAAAAATTTAACTTCAATTTGTTCTCCTTACACATGTTCATTGTGGTACAGTATTTAATTGCATGACATGTTATTTTTTGCCTTCATTCAGTGCTCAGGACAGATGGTGCTCACTTAAACATTTTGTTGTCTCTTAATAGTTCAGAGCATGGGCCCAGGTCTTACTGAACACTAATTCTGCACTGAAGACAGAGCTATTAATTTCCTTATGGATTTTTCTATCGTGTTTATTACTACAACAAATGTTTCACAAATATTAATTTATTTTCATAACACTCTTGTGAGATAATCAAGGAATATTATCCTCATATTATAGATGGGAAACAATTACTGGACACCTGTAGGAAGTTTGGTATACAACGACTTGCCCAACATAGGATCTCTGTGGCAGAGGCGGGGAGGATTTCAGTTCCCCAGATCAGTGTTCAACTGCCTTAACCGTGAGACCTTCCTGTCTTGTTTTATAATCCCCTCCCTCATTCAGTATATGGTTCCAACTTCAGCAACAAATGAGGTAGGAGTCCTGCGTACATCAGTTTTCTTCATTACATAATCCTGATTCAGTCCCAAAACAGGTATACAACCTGTGCACTGAAAGAGGCAGACATGCTCTGGAAAAAATTGTACAGGAGAACCTAAGGATTATGAACTGATCAGTCAACCATACATCTATTTAAAACTGGAAGTACACAAATAAGCAGCAGCTGAGACAAAAAATAAAAAAGCAAACAGTACAGTACTGTCTTAAACAAACGACTAAAAAAAGAGGGGGGAGAAACATTTTTCTTTTGCACAGTAAAGTTTCAAGGCTGTATTAAGTCAATATTTAGTTGTACACTTTTGAAAGAACAACCATAATTTTTTGTTCAGTTACAAATATTTCAGAGTTCCAAAAAACCTCCACTCCCAAGGTGTTCATAATTCTGAGATTCTACTGTATTTGTTTATGTAATTAAAGATAGATCTTGAAGTGCAAGCAGCTGCGCTTCAGAGAGTTCTAGGAGGCACTGTGCATAATGGAGCCTTAAACCTCCAGCTGCTTATTACATTATCCCATGCAGATTTATTTGTATAATCTGCAGTGTTTCATATGCTCCCAGATTAAAGTTGGAGTTTGTTTTTAAATTCCCCACCATGGTAATGTCTTCTCCACATAAACAATCTCAGGCTTTTCAGGTACTAAGATCTTCAACATCAAACTGGTAGGATTATTTTTTCACTATTATTCAAAATGCAAAATATATATTGATTTGAAACTTGGAAAAGCCTTTTTCAGGCCAGTATGCAAAGCATTCAGGAAAGAATCCACTGTATCCAAAAGTCAACCTCAAACTTTTAGTTTCCTTCCATTGGTAAGTCTCTGTATACAAAAAAGGTGAAAAATGAATAGCATTTTGTCCATGCTTTACACTAACTTGAATTCATCACTTGAACACATACAGTTTGCTTTGACAATGATAGAGTGAATATTTCATCTTCTGTTCTTTAATATCTACATTGTTTTCATTGGATTTTTGAACATCTTGACCCTGTAAATTATAGGAAAAAACATAAATCACAATCTGAAGTTTTCTCTAGTTTTTTTTTATTTCTTGTTCTTAATGTATTGAAATGCTCTTATGCATTGATTTACAATGAAGTCTAATCTGAAACTGAACAAGGCTCTAAATTCTGGCTATTGGGGCTAGTATATCTTAGCAGATAATATCCAAAAAATGATATCTTATGCCAACTTTCCTGAAAATAAGTCACTTCTGATTATGAACAATGGTTAGCAACATTCTTTGACTTACCTCAGTCATAGCATTTGGAAAAGCAGACCAACATCTTTTCCTGTGGAAATTACAAAAATAGCTTGTTTCTGTGTCATGGGCAGTTTTCTGTTTGGTGTACTAGAACCTAGAAAGACATCCTAAGATCTTCTGGGCAACAAAAATGAAAATTATTTTCTAATTGAATTAACTGATCCCTATCCCTCATCAATTCATGAGTGAACATGTGCTGCTGCTTTACTGAAATAGCTAAAGGTGTATTCCAACTTATTCTGTGGTGAAAGGAGTGTTTGAGGAGCCTAAAAGGTTGAAATTATTTAACCCCTTTGTTCTGGTATTCAAACTATATGATGTTTACCTCAGCTTTCTGACTTTTACTTTGTACTTCTTCATTAAATCTTCCAGATGCTTGTTTCTTTTCTCTAAGCTGTCAGCAAGAGACAATGTAATTATATAATGAATAATATAATATTATATATATATATATCCTTATTTTTCAATATTAATATTTTTGTTAGGTGCAGTAAAGAAATTAAGATCATGAAACTACCTCTTCAGCATGTAATGTATGTGAAGTCACAGGATTAGGGGGCTCAAATGGTAGTGAAAGTAATTTGGGGATCAGTGTTATCAGCTAATACTAAAATCTACATCTATTTTTTTTTTGAATCAGGATGGTACAGTTTATTTATGGTCCCACTGCCTGTTTTAGATTGGCACTTGAATTAGAACAAGATGGCTGAAGCTTAATCCAAACACAATGGAGGTAATGCTTGTGGAATAGAGTGAATTCCTGGGAGTACAGCAGGTTGATTCTTGTTATCAGTGTTGAAGAGGTGTCCCACCTTTTATCCAAGAGGTCCCCAGTTGCTTCTAGAATCTGAGGTGCCTTTGGTGGTTAAAAGTGCATTCTACCTGCAGTTATTATTCTTAGCTCTGGACCTTGCTGAGGCTAGTCATACCATTGAGACTTTAAGGCTGGATTGCTTGGCTATTGAGCAGGGTTAGCCACCAATATTCCAGGAACAGCACTGGTTTCCTATTCACTTCTGGATTCAGTTCAGAGTGGTAACTTTGGTATTTAAGGTTCTGATGCAGCAAAGCACTTAAACATGTGCTCTAATTTTAAACATGTGACTAGACCCATTGATTTCACTGGGATTACTAATATGGTTAAAGATGACAACATACTCAAGTGCTTTGCTGAATCAAGGTTTGGGCTGAGTAACTGAGACTTCATTTCTTCTTATGTTTGGTAGCAGCAGCAGAAATCAGACAAGTCCCACAGCTTGCTAGGGATATCAGTTGGCAGCTTCGTTATGGAGCCATCAGCACAGACATGTAATTGGCACAATCTCTGATGCCTATCCATTTTGTGGTGAGAGCAAGACCCTGGCACATGTTCATCTGCAGTGTGCCAGATTGCAGCCCATTTTCCAGCTCTTCTAGAACAGTGTTTCTTAAACTGTGTTCCGTGGCACACTGGTCAGAACAACAGAATTCAAAATGCCTTAAAGGGGCAGGCGACTTTTTTTTTTTGGCTCAGTAACTTTCCCCCAACCCTTTTTTTCCTCAATAACTTTCCCCCGGACCCTTTTTCCCCTGACCTTTTTTTTTCTCCCCGTTGGTGTTCCTCATAAAAGAAAATATTGTTTGGTGTTCCTCAGTCTTAAAACATTTAAGAAACACTACCCTAGAACCTCCTTTTGAAGTTCTGATTGTACTTTTCCCCACATCTTTTCATATATGCATACCCTGTCCATGACCCCAGGAAGTAATGAAACCTCCTCCTAACACTGGCTGAAATGGCTGTCTAGGATGCCAGGAGAGGATGTTAGAGGAGGAGGTGCTCTGTGACTTTGGGGCCTACTTCCGTTCCTCCCTTGTTTCACACATCTGGATAGAGTTCCTCTGGGCTCTGTCTGCTGGCTCCCTAGCCCTCATTCAGGTGCAGTAAGCACTGTCCAGAGTTCTCTGCTCTATGTCCCACTTTGGATCCTTGATTTTGAACTTATGACCCTTTATCCTGTCCCTGCTTAATTGTTTGTTGTCCCTGCAATCAGCTGAACCCTCTCTGGGAGGGGGGAAGCCTTCTGATAAGGGTGGACTTCCTCCATAGTTCAATAGGTGAAATCAGATGAGACACTCCAGATACTAGTTCTTAGAGTAAAATATGTGGTACTGTTTGCAGGTTGTTCTCACTGAATATCACTCAGCTCAGGAAAATGCTTGCCTCTGGTAAACCAAGAGAACCCCAGTATGTTGACCTTTAAGACGTTGCCTGTTAAATGGTGCAGGAAGTGCAAGTGTAAACAATTGGTGAATTGATATTTAAATTGTTTTGGGGGGTAAATCTTTTCCTTTAAAAGTATAAATGGTTTCTTTTCTTACACATTGATATACACACCCCTGGATTTTGTAATTAGATGTATTTTATTAATTAATTATAGCTTTTATAGAGAAGGCCTACAGAATTTGAGAGAATTATAATCAGAGTTCCCTATAAGGTGCACGCCTGGGTGGGCACACACCAAGAATTTCATTCCTGCCTACTCCTTCAGCAGAGCTGTGCAGCTGCGGCCCCAGCTGTTCCCGTGGGTGACTGCCCACCCCAAGAGCATCTGGACAGCCATCATGCAGCCTGAGTGATGGCTGCCAGAGCTTAAGCCTGGGCCATGGTACTAAAAATAGCACAGAAGCCCGACTCTAGTCCTGGCACATGGGGCAGCTGCTCACCATGTAGCCCAACCCCTACAAGCAGCTACGGCCACGGCTGGCGGCCCCAGCTGTTCCCGTGGGTGACTGCCCACCCCAAGAGCATCTGGACAGCCATCATGCAGCCTGAGTGATGGCTGCCAGAGCTTAAGCCTGGGCCATGGTACTAAAAATAGCACAGAAGCCCGACTCTAGTCCTGGCACATGGGGCAGCTGCTCACCATGTAGCCCAACCCCTACAAGCAGCTACGGCCACGGCTGTGTGGTGGCTGCTGGGCTGGAAGTGCCCGAGCTCAAGTCCCCGCACACAGGATGTGCTGCCTTCTGTGCTGGGACTGGAATCAGGCCACAGTGCAGCTGCCCCTGGGCTGGGGCCACAGTACTTAAAATTGCACCAAGGCCTTGGCTCCAGCCCCAGCACGCAGGGCAGCCACCCGCCATGGTGCCCCGCCCAGCAGGTGCAGGTGTCAGGATGGCAGAAGATAAGGAAAGGGGCAGGGGAATAACTAAGAGGAAGGGGCTAGTGCTGAGGGGAGAGGAGGGAGCCAGGGCAGGAGAAGAAAGGGGAAGGCACCCAGGGCCATTGTGGAGGAGACACAAATGCCAGGGGGACAAGAGGAGACAATGAGGGGAAAGAGCAGGAGGAACAGAGGTGGCGGGGGAACGGGAAGGTGTCAGTGAGGGTGGGAGAAGGGAGGGACAGGGTGATGCTGGGAGGGGGGGGGGGCACATGCCAGGGTGCCAAGAGGAAACAATGAGGGGAAAGGAGAGGGGGGGATGGGAAGGTGTCAGTGGGGGTAGGAGAAGGGAGGGGACAGGGTGATGCTGGGAGAGAAAAGGGGAGGAGCAATGGGGAGGAAGAGGAGAGTGTGCCCTGAGAAGAGGGGTTGAAAGGAGGGGTGGGCATGAGGAAGGCGGGGGTTGGGGCAAGCCTTGTGTGAGGGTGCAGAGGGGTGTGAGGAGAACTGGGGCAGAGGGTGGTGAGGGGGTGGCACCAGGGAGGAAGAGAGTAAAGGGGGCAATTGTTGGGAGGGCAGTGAGGAAAGGGGGAGGCGCCAGAAGGGTGCAGGGATAAGGGAACATGCAGGTGCCAGAGGGATTGTGGGGGTGAAGCAGAAGGGTAGACATGGGGAGGGGAGTAGAGGAGAGGGGCAGGCACCAGAAGGCAGAGGAGAGAAGCAAGGTATGTGGTTAGAGGGGATGGGGATGGGAGCTAGATGAGGGGTGGGCACAGGGGGGATGGGAAGGGCAGGCGCAGGGGTCAGTGAGGATGGGGAGGTGGGGCAAGCCCCAGGAGGGCGGAGGGGAGTGAGAAGGGCAGGAGCCAGGACAGCAGAGGAGGATGAGGGGTGGGGGGCAGCAGTAGGCACCAGGGGAGAGGATGGGACAAGGGGAAGATGGGAGACATGGCAGCAGAGGGGAAAAGGGAGAGGTTTATAACTTGGGTGCTACAGTGGCACATGTCCGAACAACCTCACGTGACCTCAATATTGGTGCACAAGACAAAACTCACTCTGCTCATGGATGGAAAATCGTAGAGGAAACACTGATTATAACATGTCTATAGAATTTTTAACTAGACTAGAAAATCTATGGGATAGGACAGTGGAAAAGGAGTTATGACATCTGGGTTTTACTGACCAGTTGTGTGAACTTGGGCAAATCACTTTACCTCTGTGTGCCTCAATTTATTCTCCCATCCCTTGTGTCATTTATTTAGACTGTAACACCCAGGTCCTCAAAGATATTTATGGATCTAACACCCATAGACTTCAATGCGAATCAGGTGTCTCAATACCTTTTAAAGACCAATATCTAAACTCTTTGGGATTGCTTTTTTTTCCTCCACTCAAGCTCATCTGAGAAAGTGGGTTTTGCCCAGGAAAGCTTTTATATATAATTGTTGTTTTTAAAGTTACAGACAAAGACAGCTACCCCCTGAGTCTTTGGGATTAAGACTTTCTCTTATTGTGTAAATTCACAGTGTTTATCACAATGAGATCTAGATAATAAAAATATAGGCATATACAGTAAAACTCCAGTTGTCTGGCACTTCCGATAGTCCGGCACCATCTGGAACCCGAAGTGCTCTGGCCAGCTGGACAATTGGAGCTGCTCCGTGCCGCTTCCTCAAGTCCACTGCTGCTGCTGCTGAAACTGACCAGCGGTGGACTTGGGGAAGCTGTGGGGCAGAGCACCAGGTGAGGGGTGGCACTGCTGCCTGGTTGGTCCTGCAGCACTGCTCAGGTGAGGGGCAGCACTGCGGGACCAACCCGGCAGCACCCCAGCTGCTGTTCCCCGCCGCTTCCCCAAGTTGCCGCTGCTGCTTGCAGCCCCAGCTGACCTGTCGCCGGCTTCCCCCGCCTCCCTGCAAAACGGCAGAGGGTTTGCCCCACGCTGCGCTGTTCCCCGCCGACCCCTCCACACCCAGACCTGTCACAGCCCCCCTGCTGGAGTACCTCCTGATACTCCGGCATATCCGATAATCCAGCACCCCCTGGGTCCCAAAGGTGCCGGATTATCGGAAGTCTACTGTAATTCTCTTTTAAATTCTATAGTTTTCTAGAACAGTTCCATAGAACCATATTATTTCTATTCTGTCAGTTTCAATCTTATTAAATGTCTCTAGAATTTTTTCTAAAAGGTAAATGACTATTGTATATAATAAATATAACTAATAATAGGTTTTATTGGGAAAATCTTACAATGTGATTTTTCCAAAAGAAAAAGCATATACTTTACAGAGCACACATATAAACTTTTAGTATTTATTACTTCACTACACATAATAGTAGACAATTTGGTCAAAGTTTTCAAAATTGGTCTTTTGTTTTTGTTGCCTACATTTTTGGATACCAACATTGATATACCTTGGGCCTAATTTTTAAAAATCATGAGAATCTGTCAATCAACAGACACTGAGGCTTTTTATTCTTCCCAATCTTGGGTTGGGTTTCTTGAATTAGAAAATAACAGGAAAATGTTTTAAAATTGTAGTAGGCTGAGAAATAAATACTGAATGTCTCTACTAACCAGACAAAGGGAGACTTTATTAGGAAAATATATTTTGAGTTGCCCTTTTAATATTTATTCCTCTGTGAAATTCTCTGACTCTGGACAAGTAAAGGTAGTCCATAATACCTATTTCCATCATATAACTGATATTATTAGTCACATACAAGCTGTATGGGATATATATGTCAACCTTTGGAAATACATTTGGATTTATAGCAGCACTTCAGCACATGTTGAAAATTAAGCATGTGCTGAAATGCTGCCCTGAAACAGGGCTTTAGTGACTGGTCCTGCAGACACTTAATGTGCATCTAGACAGCACCCCTCTGTTGGAATAAGCTATGCAATTTGCGCTACTTAAATTGTGTAGCTTATTCTGGGTTGGAATAAGCTATGCAATTTGTGCTACTTAAATTGTGTAACTTATTCTGGGTCTAAATTGAAAGAGCTTATTTTGAAATTTGGTGTTGTCTACACAGCACCAAATGTCAAAATAAGGCACTATTCTGACAAATCCCTTAACGTTACAGGGACACTGGAATAGCGTGCCCGCTATTTCCTGAAATAGCAGCTGCTTTTAAAGATGCAGCATTGCTAGTTCGGCATACTTCCGGTATCCAAAAGAGCAACACAGTCTAGATATACTCTTATTTACAGAGTTTGGGATTTATTACCATTAGCAGACTGGCTGCTGTAATAAGTACTGTGCACAGTGCAAAATTGGGCCTAATCATTGTTACCATATCACTTCCTGTCCTCGAACAGTAAAATAAGTTTGCTACTGATATTCTACTCATGTGGAGCCAGAATCTGTAAGTGCCAAGTGCTCTCTGCTCTGATTTACTTTATTAAAAGGTACCTAACTTCATACCTGAAAATCAATGGGGCTACGTCTACACAGGCCCCTTCTTCGGAAGAGGCATGCTAATTTCTAACTTTGGAATAGGGAAACGCGCGGGGGATTTAAATATCCCCCGCGGGATTGAAATAAACATGGCCGCAAGTGCTACTAGACTATTTGTTGTTTTTTAAGTTTTTCTTGTTACAGACTAACTCCGATACCTTAGAGGAGTAGGCTCTAGGAGAATGTGCCTGCTCCTACTGAAATCCAATGGCAAAACTCGCATTGACTTCAATGGGATTATAATTAAGCATTTAGGCTGTGATTTTCAAAAGCACTTTAAGAGATTTAGACTTCCACAACTCCATAACATTCTAACTGCCTTGTGTTCAATTTGAAAATCACAGCTGTAGAGTTTTAATTTCCAAAATTGAATTGTCGTTATTGTACTAAAGCAGAATTTTCTCAAAAAAAACCAGATTTTCTATTCTGTCTAAAGAAGAGTGGTAACTGTTTGAATATTAAACAAATAAAAAGAATTGAGAGATAATATGTGCTGGCAATATGGCCACTTTCAATGTACTTCTCAGAGACAGAAGAAATAGAAACAAAGGATAGCTGTTGAAAGATCAAGTAATCCAGATAGTTTTATTGTCATTGTTAAGGAGGAAAATAGGACTGATCATGACTTTCAACTATCTTAGGAAGTGTAGCCCAATGGCTGAATCACTCCAAATAGCCTACTGAGGATGCAGTTAGTAACTACAGTTTTAACAAACTGTTCAGTAAAAAAATCCTAACTTCCATTTGATGTTGGTGGGTTTGTTCCTTCTGCGGTTTTAAGAAGATCAATACCCAAGTGGTATAAACAACATACAAGCCCCAAGCTGTGTATATTACAAAGCTCTTTCCCAGTCCTCAACTGGAATAGTGCAAAGTGATTCTAAATTATGCATAACCAGGCCTGGGAAAGGCCCCCATTTTAATGGCTCCTCAGATGATATAAAAGAGTCAAAACACCTCCTGTGTCCCTCTCCTATTGCCATTGTAGAGAGAATGCCCAGAGCCAACAGAGGAGGTGATCTTGCACACTGACACTTTCCAGATATCATATCAACTCTTTGGGACAGATGTAAGCCAGTAAATTGTAAATTAGGCCACTGCAGCTAGCGTAAAATGGACGATTTATGCTGCTCTAACTTACATTGGGTGAAGGCTTAATGACACATCTTTCCCAAGATAAAACCAACTTTCCAATTCCCTTCCAGAGATTCAACATATGCTTCATGGCCACATCTGAGGACTGAGGCCTACCCTTTTTGTTTGTTGATATGTAAGGTACAAAACGATCCTTTTTCTTATGTTTTACATTGTTTCTAGCACATTTCATGAAAATGCAGCCTTCTGTCACACCAAGGAGTATTATTTATTCTTTGTCTCCTTTCATAAGAGAAGCAAGAGAAAATCTCTCTCTCTCTCTGTCTCTGTCTCTCTCTTTCACACAACACACACACACGAATCTCTCTCTCTCTCTGTCTCTGTCTCTTTCACACAACACACACACACATCTCTGCAAAATAAAGGAAATCAAGTAATTAGTTCAGGCAACCTACTATGATATCTGAGAACTGGCTATCTCAAGCCTTTGGTCAGCACATTCAATAATTTCCTCATATGATGTTACCTTTTAAAATAAAATCATCAAATGATTAGCTGCTGTATAATACCCATAACAGCAAAATAAGATTTCCACAAAGCAATACATTCTCATCTCCGTAAGTCCTGCATTTGTATGTTACTTCCACTGGCCCTACAGAGCATTCCACATTTATTTCCTACATGCCTTGCTCATGCAGATAATCCCACTAACTATGTGAATAAAATAAACAGGACTTGGCTCTTATGCTAAATTTCACTCAAGCTTGACTATAGCTTGCTTTTCTGTCAAAGAGGTTTCCCATCCAAGTACTGACCTGGCCTGACTCTGCTTACTTTATGAGCTCTGACAGAGAGCTCACAAGTCTAAGACAGTTGATATAAAACAGGTTAGTAGAGGGGGGAAACATACAATTTAAGTAATATTCTGAAAGTGTCAGGTTAACATGAAGAGTTTCTGCTGTACAATCATGCTTGTACCTTGCATGTCAAGCTACCCAAATCTCCTTGAAGCGTCTCATTTTCTCCAGTAAGCCTCTTGCATTCTTCTTCCTTTAGCACTAGATAGTTTTCCAGGTTAGTGATCTCAGAAAAACAATAAAAATATTTCACCAATAACTGCTGTCATAAACATGTCCTGCTAAACACCAGAAATAAAGACCTGTCACTCAGATTGGAAGGGTGGAGGATAGATGGGAGCCATGATTTCTTGAAAAAGGATAGGGATCTTACAAACACTTATTAGTCATTTGTCCCCATTCCCAAACTGTAAAATATGGACTTCGAGCCATGATTTCTTGAAAAAGGATAGGGGTCTTACAAACAGTTATTAGTCATTTGTCCCCGTTCCCAAACTGTAAAATATGGACTTCATAGGCGAATTGTGAGGCATAAATCATTAGTATATTTTAAGTATGGCAAACACTACAAATGAAAATGCCATAATTTACCACCACCAGAATGCATGTTTGTGTGTGTGTATGTACATAAATACATAGGAATATGTAAGGTTCACCAGACATTAAGGGAAACAAATACATAGGAATATGTAAGGTTCACCAGACATTAAGAAGGGAAAAAGAAAGCTGTATTGTACACTGATTTCCAACAAAAATAACTTCCAAGGCCTTATTCTGTCAAATACCTATTTCCTCACCTGGAAATGGAGGTCATCACTTTGCTTATGGTATTCACCCAATTTTGTTCTCAGCAAATCTAAAAGTTTTGTGCCACTCCCAGTTTCCTCTAGATTTGCACCTGCATCCTATAGATAAATATGGCATTAAGGAAAATTGGGTCAAATCCAATATTAGTCATTAGACTTGTTTCCTTTCTGAATAATAATAGATTTCAAGTTCCATAATGTAATTACTCTATTTTAAATAACACTATCCAAATTACTTAATCAACCAAAGATTAGTTTGGTTTTTGAGGTTTCCAACACACTCTTTTTTAAAAAATTGCTTGTTAAAATCAGGAGGATATAATCTCTGGGCCTGATTCTCTACCTGTTAATCTAGGTTTAATGTTGTAATTCTTATGATTTTAGAAGTGTTACATTTACCTAAAGCTGGAGTAATGCAATAATGACTCAGCTCCTCTATTTGGTATGTTTAAATATTCCTAAGGACTACATCACGTACTATGAAATTTTTGGTACAAATGACTGTTCTCTATTCATTCTGATATAATTCTTTGAAGTGTAACATATAAAAAGATTATGGCATAGATTCTTTCCCTGATTCCACTCCTTTTGTGACTCTCAGGGAGAGTAAAGGAAGCTGAGGCTCACTATAATTTCCATTAGAGGAATTTCCCAAGCACCAGCTGTCCCCAGGTGGCACACAGATGTCAGACAGGGCTCTAGGTTGCCTTTCCTGTAGGCCCCGCTACCTGGGACATGTTGGGACTGGGAGTGGAGAGCGAATGACCAAAATTTGACTCCTTCAGGAAATCCCCAATGGGACCATAGCCATCTGGGAGAGGCGACACATTTGGCAATGGAGTATGGGTTCTGGGAAGTAAACAGATCCCATTCTGAACCTGGACCTACTTACATTTTGTCTTGACAGTCAATAAAAATATAACAGCTCTTAGACAGGTAAGATGTGAAACTTAGAAAGGGAGAGAGAGAGTGAAACAGGAGGACTTTTTTTATACTAGGTAAATAAGTCACTGTGTTAATGAATGGGGTAGCATTGCTAGCACCGTCTTGCCCTGCAACAGAGCAGTGTGACTTCATTAGACAGTTTGAATGTAGCGCAGTGCGTCTAAGCACAGTTGTACCTATGCACTGGAACTTCTTTCCTGAAGTTCCCTGTATATCAGTCCTCAGCAGGGACACAGCAGGAGGTGAATAGCTGGCAACATCTTGGATTTTTTTTATGCTGTTAGTAATTGTGTATTCTGTTTAGCATTCGGGACCCTAATCAGGATTGAGACCCTATTGTGTTAGGCTCCATACAAAGTGTATGCCTAAGTACAACCACAGCAAGTGTAGTTTATACTGTCTTTCTTGAGCTAACTTTAATTTAGCTAGCTCGGCTCCTGGAGTAGCAAAACTGCAGCTGTCCATGCTTAGCATAGTCTAGCCCTTAAAGTAATAATCCAGGACCCCTTGTGGGTTTATACAGCCTGTACTACTTGCAGCTTCACTGCAACGGGATCTGAGCCAGTTAAATGAAAGCCAGTTTGGATTCAACAGCTTAAATGGCAATTGCTCTCTAGATACACCCACAATGAGAGACAATTTGCTCCAAGGGAACTAAATAATGTTCTAGTTTAATATCACTGTATATTATATTAATTCAGACAAAAAAGATCCAACGTACTCTCTCTAATTTCTGTAATTATTGATCAGGTCACACTCACCTCAGTTGCTTGATCTTGGGAAGCTTTCTCATTAATAATTAACTCTCTCATGGCTGATATGCTTTCCCTGTGTTTCTGTAACTAAATATTTACTGTGATTAAATTATATGTGAGAGAGAACTTCTGCCACTCAAGTATCATTCATTTGTAGCACAAACATCTTAGAAAAAACTATCAATCATGCAAGCAAATTCTGAGTGGAGAGACTCTGTACAACAACAACAACAACAACAAAATACAGCCTTATAAATGATGCACAGAGCCTGAGTGTAGTACATTATTTATATCACTTTAGTATCCACAGAAGGAAGCACAGCTATCAAATATATACCATTTATTTTGTTCAGATTTTTGTATCATGCCCATCCTTGTTTTCATTCAACAGTTTTTATCACTTCCTATTTTATGCCCCAGTCCATGCACTTATCTTGGGGAGCAGCTGCATGGAGACAATTGCAGGATATGGGCCTTAGGGATCAAGCATGCCTAAGTCCCCATCTTTGCCCCTTTTGGAGGCAGCAACTACGTATTGGGACACTAGTAGGAAACAGTCCTAGCAATCAGAAGAGCTCAAGGACTATAATTCTGTTCAGCCTCTGCATAGGATGCACAAGTGGGGAATGCTTCTGGAACCCACCTCTCCTCTGGAGCTGGCTAGAGAGCTCTTCCTTAATTTTTAAATTTATTTTGATGTTCATATCCATCTTCCTTTCTTTTCTTCAGACAGAACACCAAACCAGGGTGCATTAATGGGTGTTTTATAGCAGTAATAGAGCGCAGCAACTGACATTCCATTTAAAGAAATTGAGTTCCTGCTGCACTGTCATCTAGCAATAGTTGGTATCAATACAAGGGCATTTTCAGTCTGTAAAATAGTATTTTGATAAAAAATATATTTATAAGGTGGTATCCAGAATGAAATGGGGGAATCAGAAGCCAGGTTCCCAAGATAAGTCAGTTTAGCCAACCCCATTCAAGGTTAAATGGCAGAGCAATATGATACCATTTAGAAACATATATGAGTAAGTTCCACCACTGTGCAGCACAAGGTAGGATAGCAGGATTTGTAAATGCATCAGTGCATCATTTGTCAGTTCCCCATCCACATTACTGACAATGGACCTTGAATGTTTCACCACAAAGGGCGTGGTTCTAGCTCCTCCTAGTGGATCAATACAGAACATATGGACACTGCACACAGTATTGGTACACATAGTAACATAGGGCAAGGAATTTGCCATTTGCCCCTTCTTTAGAGTAAATGAAATGCATTGCTTGAGTTGCTCTTGGCAGTCTTCAGTAGCCAACCATTTGTCAGGTTGCTGAGAAAATGGATTCTACTGTATAAAATATTTTGATTGGAGTTTTGAAATACCTTCCAGTAGAATCCTCTTACTAATTTAAAAGGTGATTAACAGAGAGATATAATACCCAGACCTACAGCCAGAGGGCATTATTTTACTGAATTTTCCCCAG